GAATTATCTAATATGGTTAAAATACTTTAATCCTGTGACTGAGCCACAATATTTTACACTCATCCCATTTATTCACCTTTTTCCACTTTTAGACAAGTTAATTCTGCTGCTCAATTGACATGGTGATAGTAAGTTGAGACACGTGTGGTTGCTGCTTGAAGAATCTGTGTTCAATGTTTACACACATATTCCAATTCATTAATTTAGATATTTGGTTATTCAGATGTTAATTTTCCTGCTCCCTGCTGGATATGCAGAGCCTAACACAGCATCAAACTCAAAGTAGTGTCTTTTAAATGTTTGCTGAATGAGTACAAGAGTGTTGGGCTGATACGGAATGAATTCTGGACCTTTTAAATCTCAAGAATACACCTGGATTTAAAACTTAAAAGTAACTAGTCAAATAATTTTCATTTTGTATACAACATGTCTCCTTTTTAAAAATTGCCTTAAATATTTCAATGTGCTTTAAATTTTTTAAGTAAAAAATTTAAATAAACTATAGTCTTTAGGAAGTTTAATCTTTAAAGGTTAGAAATAAGAAAATATTCATTGCTTAAAATACATGTTTGTTAATGCCAAGAGGTCTTTTAAAACTAGTGCCTATTTGCTCTCTTGTGAGGGACGTGAGCTTGTGCTGAGCTCTGCATGCTCAGGGTTGCAGAGCACGGCTCCAGACTCACTCTTCTGGTTTGAACCTTCGAACCTACGCATTAACTCTGTGACCTAGAACCAGTATTTCTTCTCTTTCTGTCTGTTTCCTCATCCTTTAGCCTGCAGAACAAGCATAGTAATTGAACGAACTCAGAGAAGTGTTATGAGGGGCAAAGTAAGGTTGGTAGAGTATATAGAATAGTACTGGCCTCTGGTAGTGCTTGTTAGTTGTGTGAAATGCACCTAATAATAGTACCTACCTCTGATGAGAGTCGTAAGAAGTAAACGAGATATTTACAATACTCCTAACAGGTGCCTTGGTACCTGGTGAATGCTCATCAGTCTTTATTATTACTTTTATAAGGTAAGAGATATTAATAAGGAAGACATATTAAGATACTGTATCCTCCAAGCCTTTAAAAATAAACACACATAAAACCGGGGAACCACTCGGTGATGCGCTCTATGACATGAACAGAATATAAACCCGACATCAGAGAAGAGGAAAGGTCACTGTGTACCAGGATGCGAACAAAGGCTCCCTGGGGAAAGCCGTTCTGGGGCCCAGAGGCTGAGGGGAGAAGGGCAGAGCAAACACTGTACGGGAGTGAGTGGCGGGGGTGAACTGTAGTTAGGAGGGTGGGGCCAGGCACCGAGGCCCTGGCCAGCCTGGGCCGGGCTGGCACTGTGGGGCTGGCAGAGAGCCCACCCGTGGGGGCTCAGGAGGCATGGCTTCTAGGGTGCCCCGGAGTGGACTGCCTCGTCCCCGTGCGCACAGTCCTGGGTCTGCCTGCTAAGGGTCCCTTTTGTTCCCGCTAGATGCCCTTTGGCCCAAGAGTTTGCACTCAGCTTTCCCAACACTTTCTTGAAAGCCTTTCTTCTGTAGAAAAGCAGGGCCCCTCGGCAGGGTTTTCCTGATGGGAAATGAGGAGAAGCAAGAAGCTCTACGCCCGTCAGTTCTCTCTGTGGCATTCTATGGACGCCGGTGTAGAGCATGAGCTCTCATGTGTCCCCTGCTTCCACTCTCATATTTTTCTTTGAATAGATTAAGTCATCATTTAACAAACAGCGATGATAGTGGGCTGGACCCTATCACTCATCCCAGGGCACTAACATACTCTCAGTATATAAATTCTTTTTGAGTTAACAGGCTTCATAAAAAAGGATCTTAACTCTCTGAAGGATGCACAGTTTATTCTCAGGGTTTTAAAACTCAGTCTTGCTTTCCAAAGCTTTAGTATATAGTGAACTAGTTTGCAGTCCTTTTCAAGTTGTGATCTTGATATTTTTCCATTACAGCTTTGGAACAACCAGTCAGTCAAGGATTATCACTTTGGTTCCCTGTAATCTTTACTTATAGGTTTCTCATAAGAAATAACCAGAAAAGATATCTACATTCATGAATATAATGGTCATAGTCATAGAGTATTTTGCATTTTGGCTGCTGAATTTGCTGCCTCAAATGGGTATCTTACTTCTGCAGCTTTATAAGTATTATATACATGTGTGAGATAGTTTCCAGAAAATTAAGACATCCCTTTCCAAAGGTTATAGCAGTTTCAAAGAGTCAATAAAGGGAGGAAAGAGACAGAAAAAAAAATCAACCACTTAATATAGTTGAACTCAATAAATGCTAATAGTAGCATATTAGAATGATATTTCTAAATGATATTATATAAGACTCCTTTTAGATATTCTTTCTTTTGGCTCTCAGAAGATTAAAGAAAGCAGGAAAGAAGACACCTTTATTGGATTTAGAGTTGTTTGACATTTGGGCTGACTTATTAATTATCTGATACCTGTCAGTAAATTCTAAGCCAGGACTCTGGGCCAGCTTTGTTATATTAACTCTTTTAAGCCTCACCCCATTTCTGGTGTGGTCAGCGTTATCCGATTTATAAATAAGGGACTAGAGGCTCAGAGAGTACGGACAAGTGGGTTGCCCAAACCCTCTGACCCGTGAGGGCAATGTGAGGCCTCAGGTCCTGCCGACCACCTCGGAGTCTTTTCCCACTTGTAGTGACTGACTTGGCACATCTCTGGTCTTATCTATCCTCTAGTTCCAGAAGGGTCTTGAGCTTTCAAAATTAGACTCAATTCTAATTCTTCAACCCACATCCAAAGTATGAAAACAACTTAAGTCAAATTTACTTCTTTCAGAGAACCACCAGCATCTCACATCAACATTTCATAAAATACATTTTGTAATCAAGTAAATTTGGGGAATACAGGACTTAAAACCATAGTTTACCTGACACCTTTAGTACAGGACTTCTTTGGGTCTTCAATATACTAATGTGAAGTCTGAATTGCTAAGAGGAGACTATTCCAAGCATTGTTTCATGGGCTATTTATTTATTCATGTATTCAGTCATCCTCTTATTTTGGTAGAATACCTCAAGGGATTAGTCTTCTAAGAAACAACCCATCTTAACAATGTGTCATCTTGGGCAAATCACTTTACCTCTTTGGGCCTAAATTTTCTGTTTTACAAATAGTACTAAAGATGATCCAAAGATCCCTTAACTTTAAAAATTCTATGACATATCTCCTCCCTCCAAGTCTAGGCATTTGTGCTACCAAATGAACTTGCTAAGGATAGAGTAAGATTTTCTGAAAACCACTCCTGAATGAATGAACCAATGATAGACTCATTGATTGCCAAATATTATGCCAGATTCTGAGGATAAAAAGACAAGTAAGGTACAAATGAGACAAAGATATGTTGTCTTCCCTGAGAATGAGGGCATGATATGATGATACACATACAGTAACAGAGCACACGCATGAACTGATGAGACAATATAGGGTGATGGTAGCAGAAATATGCAAAGATAATGGACACATAATGAATTGATGATTATAAAACAACTCAGTAAGAGTAGAGATATTTATCAATAATAAAGGCTCATGAAGACCTGCCTCCTCTTTGCAGGAGTTGAGTAAGGCTTTCTGGAGGGAGAACATCCGATCTGGGTCTTAAGGGATGGGTAGGCATTAGAGGAAGTGAAGGCACTCTAGGCGGAGGGAACACAATGACAGCCAAAGCATGGGGGCTTGAAGCAGCCTAACGTGTGCAGGGGTCTACAAGAGTTTGGTAGTAGCTAAATGTAAAGTTCAAGGCAGGGGAGAGTGAGCCTGGAGTTGTAGAGGCAGGGCCAGCTGTAGGTGCCTTCTCTGTCAGATGCTTGAACTTGCTCCTGTGATGCGGACAGCGGAAGACTTGAAACAGGAAAGTGACCTGTTCACAGCTGCATTTTATACAGCCGTGTAGAAACAGGTGCAAAGAGAGAAATGAGGCGGGGAGGGGGCCAGTTCAGAGACCACTGCAGCTGTTCAGGGGCTACATAATGAGCACCTGAACTAAAAGAGTAATAGTAGGAAAGCAGAGGAAAGGATGGCTTTGAAAAACGTTTAGCATTCGGTACAATGGGCTCAGCCTGGTGGCTGATTAGAGAAGTAGGTCCTCACCACCTCTAGTTTGGATGAGGAAGTATATGTCAGTAGCAGAGGATGTGAAGTGAGCTATTTTTGGACCTGCTTAGTGTAGGGCCTTTCATAGTAGATACCTTAAAATTAGAGATGTTATACCACAACCCTTTTCTGAGCATTACACTCAGGTAGGGATTTCATTTTGTGCAGAGGACTCACATTTAAGGACCACTCCAGACCACCCCTTATTGCCAGTTCTTTGATTCACATTGTTGGGATATTGCAAATAAATGACAATTCTATTTTTTAAATATGTACTTAATCAGAATTTTAAATACGTTTATTTTAATCTTAATTAACCATAGAATTATGATGCAGGTAATAGAGTTTACTTACTGTTTTAAGTCGTTATTTTTAAATATATTTTTTGCCTTAAGACAGTTAACACATAGCCATTAATTTTTTTACCAGTATTATAAAGTGCAATTTAAAATAGCTTTCTGTTTGCCAAATCATTAAAATTGGTGTAGGTGAGTTAAAATTATAAACCTACTCTGAACGTCATACATGATAGGTGACCAAAGCTTTGCTCTACCTCAAGCCTCCTGGGACTAACTTGTCACTCGCCCTGTTGTCAAGGTGAGCTGAAACATTTCCTAAGTGGTTCTTATGATTTCTCTCTGAATGCAGTGTACAGCAGGTTCTGCAAGGGTCTTTCTACAGGGTTAGTAGTATGGTCTGCACAGGAGCTGGCTCCAGTAGTGTTCATTTGAAGGGATGTGAGCATGACCCAGAGCCCAGGTTTTTGCAGCTCTCTCAGCGAGTGGTCCGGATGTCCTGGAAGTTGGTGGTAGGAATGTCAGGGGAAGAAGGGGATGCTGACAAAGAGTAAACGAAGGAAGAAAATCTCTTACCGGGTTCTTGCTGTATTTTGTGGTTGTTTTTAAACCAGGTTATCTGAGGCTCTGGGACCCCGCTGGCGTGGCAGTCTAAAGTGGTGGAGCTGCTGACAGCCACCGTGTGATCGCTGAGGTTCCGCAGAAGGGACGGGGCTTCCGGATCTAGCAAAGAAAGAAAGGGAATTTGATTACTTGTCAGGCTTGTCCTCTTATTGTATATGCATATCAACATTTTAAATATCTGTAGAAACAGCAGAACTCAACTATAAGGTTTCATTCGTATTTTGTTCCCTAGAGCTCTCTGCTTTGAACCTGTTTACTCTTTATTAAATTGCTACAATAAATTGAGATTTGTTAGACTGGAGTAAAATCAAGAACTATCTGTATATTGTGAGATTTCAATCTCAAGGTTTTGGCCTGGCCAACTAGTTTTCTTCCTTTTTTTTGAAAGAAGCTTTTAAAACCTAGAGATTTTGCATGATATTGTAGGAACTAAAAAGGAAACACATGATTTTGGAAATAGGCATGTAATGAGTTTTTACATAAATAGATGGTATTGTAGTGGTGAGCTAAATAATTCCGTATGTATTTTTAGTGAAGTGTTTGCGAGGGCATGTTTGCATTACCCAGCTGTCAGGAACCTGCATTGTAAGGCAGCAGACCAAACAGGAGAATTTCTTGAACTTTGAAAGCTTTATTGACTTCCTTCCTCCATTCCCTTCCCAAATGCAAGCAACCAAGATTCATTCAAGAGGCAGAGGCACAGATTTGTAGTTTTTGCACTATATAATAGTACAAATATTGTATTTTATATTATTTTCTCTTGGAACATACAAATATGATACAATTTATTTTAATAAAATGCCAACCAATATAGTACAACAACATGAATTTAATACATTAGGATGCAATACATTACAACATTAAAATCCCACATAGGAATGGCAGTACCCCCAAGAACCCCAATAGGCACAGTGTCTCTATTTAATGAAGTAGTCGGTCAGCCCTGCTGATGTGTATACATTCTAGTTAGACGGGGCTCAAGCTTCCAAGGTAGAGGAATAAAGGTAACTCCTCATGTCTTTCCCACCCTCCCAAATCATCCTTTCCCCCCACCTAGTTGCAAATCCTGGAGCAGAAATCAGAAGAGTTTTGACATAACTTACACATTCTATGTCACTGGTTTCAATTAAACAGTATGAGCTTTCTCTGACCATTTTTGATTTCCTCATCTTATTGAACTAAAACTGTGACTACGGCTTAAGAGTGGTTACAGTGCTATAAGAGATGACACACTGCAATGGCTCTGATTCTGTGTCCCTGCAGGATTCTGCCGAGTCCCCAGACCTTTCTCTTTTTACTCCTGCAGGGAAACTCTCAGGATTAGCATTCATTAAAGCAGTTTGGAGATCTCAGGTTAAAAAGTGTATTATCATATAACTATTATAACATGTTGACGTAGTGTAACATGGTAGGGTTACTATCTGTTAGGAGAAACAGATTTCTCATTGAATTTGTATTTCCATTGCTCATCACTAGTCTTTTCTCATTTTACGCAACATGAAATCTGAAGGCAAAAAAGAGTGTTGAAGGAAGTGCTTTGATTTAGAAAATCTTCAAAGTGTGAAAGATCTTTTTGCTTGTTTCAGTTAACATTCCTAGAAATGTCTTGCCCCGCCAGGCAGAACCATTTTAATATTTCTATGTCTGTATTCTGTACAATCTGTCAAACAGCTTTTCTGAATTGAAAATGCAGCCATGTTTCAAAATCTGCAATTTTGATAACTTTTTTATGGTCGACCATTACAATTTTGGCATTTTTACACAGTAAGAACCCCCAACATACAGTGAAACATGACAAGATAATAAAGAACAGTGGTATATTACTATGTGGTATCTTTAACAGTGGCAAGCCAAGTTTGACATGTTTCATTTAAAACTCACACCCAGTTCACTAAGTTATACTTTTAATAGCTTCCCTTAGGTTCATTTACTGTTTCCCATGCATTAAACATGATAAAATAATCTATCATTGCCCATAGGCCTTGTTATAAAATGGAAATCTGAATACAGGGCCTATAAGACCCAAATTATTTTCATAACTACAAATGGTAACATTGTCAACACAAACAAGATTTGGCTTCCCTAACGGGTGTATTGGAAAATAACACTTCTATAAAAGAGAATGGTTTATTTCAACATCAATGTCAGGAAGAACTCCCCAAGTTAAAGAGAAGCAGCAAAGGGCTGCACGACAAACAGGACTCTATTAAATACACAGTTCATATAAACACGTCTGAAACATACAGTATGACAATTGTTTTCTTTGTACCCATTTCTGAGACAATGTTCTGCCTACTTGAAAAGTCTCATTTTTTGACTAGTTTCTAAATGGCCAATTAACTAAGGAATCATTTGATCAACTCCCACTTTAGAGTCATCTGTTTGGGCATTTTAAATAAAAAGGGTACACTGAACCCATATTCTAAACCTAAGTTATTTGCTGGTAGTAGGTAGCTGCTTTCCAAAATTTAACAATGTGGAGCTGATCCCTTCAAACCGAGAAAATCAGAATTAACAGAATATTTCTGCTGGTTATCAATAGCCAAAGATAGTTCTCCGCCAGGTTCTTTTACTTTTCAGTGTTACAGCCCCAGAGATCTGCCAGGTCCCATAAATACATAATTTCTGTTCTCCACTTGGAGTGGGGACTAAGGAGCCAGCCTCGTGCCCTCTGCTCCATTGCAGTCACTGGCCACAGTAATCTCGCTCTCTCCTTACCCATTATCCTCCCCTTAACTCCGCACCTGAGGAGTAACTAATAAAAACCCAAATCCACCCAGTTCTTTTCTTTCTGAAACTCTCTGGAAGGATTGATTACACAGTGAACAAGTACTTACTCTATGGAACTCTTAAAACCATCTCTTGGAAGTACTTAAAATCACCTGTAAATACTAACAACCTCCTCCCCACACAAGTTGCAACTGTAATTTTAAGGGGAAGGAAATGATAGATACTGCATGTCCACTGAGCATTCTTTCAGAAGCAATCCCTGAACCATTCCACTTGCTTTTTCAGCTTTAGTAAAAATGGAGGCCCCAAGTTTTGTGATTATGAAGGCATTGCTTCCTGAAGGAACACAACTGACTAATAATGAACAAAGACCCCAGGCAAAAGTGCCATAGGTAAAATTTCAAGATACAATTGATTATTCTTTCCTCTGGGCTGACAGCTTCCAGGTTACTAATTGTTTTCAGAGCATTTGGGGCTCCATAAAACTAGCATGGGGGGGAAATGCTATTGTTTACTCTTTCACACTTGACAAAAGCAATTCCCACGTGAAAGACAAGTTTAGCCGTGGGACACAGTCTGTTACCTAAAGGAGGAAACAGTTTGCTGAGTTCCCAAGCCTGAGAAGCTGTCACATCGTCACCTCCTATTGAACTGCCCAGCCACTGCATTCCCAGCCGTGGCTATTTTGGTCATTACAGATTGTTTTCCAATAGTTTATGCAAGTCACATGTCATGATCAATCATAAATGAAAACAAGAAAACAATGCCCATTAAATTGGTGAAAAAGTCACTTTCCCCTCAAATGCAGGCTTCAAGTAAGAGAGAACGATCTCTCTTGATTTACAAATGGTGTGTAATTTTGAATGGCCGATTCTGCTTCCGTTTTGCCATGTCTTAATCCCCTTTAAAAAATCCTGTTAACATGTGCGTATGGGGAAAGTGGGCCTTTTTTTAATGGGCAGCTTGTAGATTTACATTTAGAACAATGCATTAAACCTGTGGTCACAATAGCCTTTATTTCCTTGATAAATTGCGTTATACCTTCGAATGCGATCAATTAAAGAGGATACAGTTCTTTAAAAGAATAACCAGGGGACAATTCCATTTAAAATGACCTTGTGATCCACTTTGTCTCAGGTGCTGCCAGCAGTGGTAGAGCCCGCACAGAGGCAGCGAGGAGAGCCCTCGCCGGACTGAGTCGGCTAGCTCTCTGGAATGGCCTGAGAGGGGATTGGGCTTCGTTTGCGTGGACTTGCACCATTCATCCTGTGACACAGCTTTCACACCTCTGAATTATACCATCTTACACCCCTGGGACCCATTTTAGAAGCTCCAGTTTAAGATTCACGTGCTTCATGTAAAAAAGAAAAAAACAAAAGCATTTTCAAATAAATAAGCATTATATAACTTGTTATTCAGGTGCTATTTACAAATCAAGAGCAGATGAAATAGTACAAAATAAAACCAGGCAGCGGTCCGACAGGATCTCAGATTCAACCGTGCTCATTCTGAGCTGGAAAATTAACTTAACTCATGTCCATCTTGGGCAGAAACCCGCTTTGTTTAACTTGATCAGTTTGTGCAGCTTCGGAACTTAACAGACAAGAAGAGGTTGGCATCAAAATGGAAGGAAAGGATCAGTCCCAGGCTGTTGTTTTACCAGGCAGGAGAAGACAGCAAAGAGCAGAGAACACAGAGAGCGCACTGCAGGGATCCTCCAAATCCAAACGCAAACGCGCACCACGTGGGCCCCGGAGGGCGGAGCCCTCGGCCTGCCCGGGGCCCAGAGCGGGGCCTGGGGGGGTCTCATTATGACTCCTATCATCTCCAAACTCATTTTGGGAGGAGCATGTCCTCTGAGCCGGAAAGTTAGCAACAGTGACAATAAATCAAGATGATATGAGACAACTGTTACTTTTCAATGAGTCCTTTAATGTTTTACATTATCTGGTGTGGTACAATCATTCCTTGTGCTTTTAAATTTGGAGATCCGAGAGAAAACAGCCTTTTTGTTGCAGTGCTCACCTCTAATGGTCACTTCTTTCTTCTGAAGGATTTCTTCCCCCGTGTCTATGTTCCTGGCTCTGCAGGCGTAGGTGCCTGAGTCTTCCCGCGAGGCGTTCTTGACGGTCAGGTTGAGGGTAACGGAGTACTCTTTCGTGACGGCCGTGTTTTGCTTGCTGATACTGTGGTGCATTGTTCGGTTGTTCACTGTCCGCAGCAAGATCCAAGTAATGTCTCTGTACAAGAACTTGTTCACCGTGCAAGACAGTTTCAGGTCCTCTCCCTCGGTAGGCATTTTTTCCAAGGTAACATGAAACCCATTTGGCACATCTATAAAATGAGAATAGAGAACTTGAGTTGGTAGAAGAATCAGTGTCTCAGACTGACACAGTATCTCATCGTGGGCCTTCAGAGATCTTAGGAACTGTTCCTACACATGTTCTTTCAGCATCAGCACTGAAAGGATAAGCACATGCCCTTTCATTTTAGGGTACCTGATGCAGCGTGGAAGATCTGCCAACCAAGTCCATTCCCTCAGAATGCTCAACGTACCCAAAACAAGCCTCAGGTGCATGCGAGGGGGCTTTCAGTCATGCCTGCCAACGCCACTTTAATCCTAAACTTCTTGAGTAAAAACCCCTATTTCCTAACTGCCCTCTACTGGCTCGAGAGTATCTGCCTCCTGCTGCTGGTCCATGACTTGCCCTGCCCTTTGTGGGCACAGTTGGGGCGGAGAAGAACCAGGTGACTTACTCCTGTCGCCCTTCTTTGGTGATTGTTCTGTTCAGACTTCAAAGAACAAAGATTTCTTCCGAAAATGCAGACAACTAATTGGGAAACGCACCAGATTTTAAACATTACATTTACTCGCAATGACACATTAAGCGTTTTATGAAAGTGACTGTGTTTTAAAGCCCTGTTCTCCACCTCACGAGCTCTGCTCTTCAGTCTCCCTACCTTCCTCAGTTTCTCCAGTGGTCAGTGACCTTTTGCACTGAGTGCCCTTGTCTGACTGTGGACCATCTCACCAGAAGATTTAAAAAATTCATTGGTTGCTGGCCCTGACCTGCTCTCAAAACGCTTGTTACTGGTGGCACATCTGTACTTGAGCAAAGAATTGGGGCCAACATTTTACAAAGTACTTTGAAGATGAAAAGCACTATGTTATGCTATTATTATTATTATCCGTTACACACAAAGCTCTAAAGAAACCTTTAAACCTTAAGGGGACAATAGTCCAAAATTAGATATTGTATCAACTCTTTCCTAAATCTCACTTTGCTTGTTTTTCTGATTTTTCTGGGCTTTGGCTTTATTATAAAGTGTCACGTCTGAAGAAATGCCAAAGTATTCATTTGAAACCTGGGAGTTGGGGGGTAACGGTGGCTTATGTAGATTATTTGCTGGTAGTAGGTAGCTGCTTTCCAAAATTTAACAATGTGGAGCTGATCCCTTCAAACCGAGAAAATCAGAATTAACAGAATATTTCTGCTGGTTATCAATAGCCAAAGATAGTTCTCCGCCAGGTTCTTTTACTTTTCAGTGTTACAGCCCCAGAGATCTGCCAGGTCCCATAAATACACAATTTCTGTTCTCCACTTGGAGTGGGGACTAAGGAGCCAGCCTCGTGCCCTCTGCTCCATTGCAGTCACTGGCCACAGTAATCTCGCTCTCTCCTTACCCATTATCCTCCCCTTAACTCCGCACCTGAGGAGTAACTAATAAAAACCCAAATCCACCCAGTTCTTTTCTTTCTGAAACTCTCTGGAAGGATTGATTACACAGTGAACAAGTACTTACTCTATGGAACTCTTAAAACCATCTCTTGGAAGTACTTAAAATCACCTGTAAATACTAACAACCTCCTCCCCACACAAGTTGCAACTGTAATTTTAAGGGGAAGGAAATGATAGATACTGCATGTCCACTGAGCATTCTTTCAGAAGCAATCCCTGAACCATTCCACTTGCTTTTTCAGCTTTAGTAAAAATGGAGGCCCCAAGTTTTGTGATTATGAAGGCATTGCTTCCTGAAGGAACACAACTGACTAATAATGAACAAAGACCCCAGGCAAAAGTGCCATAGGTAAAATTTCAAGATACAATTGATTATTCTTTCCTCTGGGCTGACAGCTTCCAGGTTACTAATTGTTTTCAGAGCATTTGGGGCTCCATAAAACTAGCATGGGGGGGAAATGCTATTGTTTACTCTTTCACACTTGACAAAAGCAATTCCCACGTGAAAGACAAGTTTAGCCGTGGGACACAGTCTGTTACCTAAAGGAGGAAACAGTTTGCTGAGTTCCCAAGCCTGAGAAGCTGTCACATCGTCACCTCCTATTGAACTGCCCAGCCACTGCATTCCCAGCCGTGGCTATTTTGGTCATTACAGATTGTTTTCCAATAGTTTATGCAAGTCACATGTCATGATCAATCATAAATGAAAACAAGAAAACAATGCCCATTAAATTGGTGAAAAAGTCACTTTCCCCTCAAATGCAGGCTTCAAGTAAGAGAGAACGATCTCTCTTGATTTACAAATGGTGTGTAATTTTGAATGGCCGATTCTGCTTCCGTTTTGCCATGTCTTAATCCCCTTTAAAAAATCCTGTTAACATGTGCGTATGGGGAAAGTGGGCCTTTTTTTAATGGGCAGCTTGTAGATTTACATTTAGAACAATGCATTAAACCTGTGGTCACAATAGCCTTTATTTCCTTGATAAATTGCGTTATACCTTCGAATGCGATCAATTAAAGAGGATACAGTTCTTTAAAAGAATAACCAGGGGACAATTCCATTTAAAATGACCTTGTGATCCACTTTGTCTCAGGTGCTGCCAGCAGTGGTAGAGCCCGCACAGAGGCAGCGAGGAGAGCCCTCGCCGGACTGAGTCGGCTAGCTCTCTGGAATGGCCTGAGAGGGGATTGGGCTTCGTTTGCGTGGACTTGCACCATTCATCCTGTGACACAGCTTTCACACCTCTGAATTATACCATCTTACACCCCTGGGACCCATTTTAGAAGCTCCAGTTTAAGATTCACGTGCTTCATGTAAAAAAGAAAAAAACAAAAGCATTTTCAAATAAATAAGCATTATATAACTTGTTATTCAGGTGCTATTTACAAATCAAGAGCAGATGAAATAGTACAAAATAAAACCAGGCAGCGGTCCGACAGGATCTCAGATTCAACCGTGCTCATTCTGAGCTGGAAAATTAACTTAACTCATGTCCATCTTGGGCAGAAACCCGCTTTGTTTAACTTGATCAGTTTGTGCAGCTTCGGAACTTAACAGACAAGAAGAGGTTGGCATCAAAATGGAAGGAAAGGATCAGTCCCAGGCTGTTGTTTTACCAGGCAGGAGAAGACAGCAAAGAGCAGAGAACACAGAGAGCGCACTGCAGGGATCCTCCAAATCCAAACGCAAACGCGCACCACGTGGGCCCCGGAGGGCGGAGCCCTCGGCCTGCCCGGGGCCCAGAGCGGGGCCTGGGGGGGTCTCATTATGACTCCTATCATCTCCAAACTCATTTTGGGAGGAGCATGTCCTCTGAGCCGGAAAGTTAGCAACAGTGACAATAAATCAAGATGATATGAGACAACTGTTACTTTTCAATGAGTCCTTTAATGTTTTACATTATCTGGTGTGGTACAATCATTCCTTGTGCTTTTAAATTTGGAGATCCGAGAGAAAACAGCCTTTTTGTTGCAGTGCTCACCTCTAATGGTCACTTCTTTCTTCTGAAGGATTTCTTCCCCCGTGTCTATGTTCCTGGCTCTGCAGGCGTAGGTGCCTGAGTCTTCCCGCGAGGCGTTCTTGACGGTCAGGTTGAGGGTAACGGAGTACTCTTTCGTGACGGCCGTGTTTTGCTTGCTGATACTGTGGTGCATTGTTCGGTTGTTCACTGTCCGCAGCAAGATCCAAGTAATGTCTCTGTACAAGAACTTGTTCACCGTGCAAGACAGTTTCAGGTCCTCTCCCTCGGTAGGCATTTTTTCCAAGGTAACATGAAACCCATTTGGCACATCTATAAAATGAGAATAGAGAACTTGAGTTGGTAGAAGAATCAGTGTCTCAGACTGACACAGTATCTCATCGTGGGCCTTCAGAGATCTTAGGAACTGTTCCTACACATGTTCTTTCAGCATCAGCACTGAAAGGATAAGCACATGCCCTTTCATTTTAGGGTACCTGATGCAGCGTGGAAGATCTGCCAACCAAGTCCATTCCCTCAGAATGCTCAACGTACCCAAAACAAGCCTCAGGTGCATGCGAGGGGGCTTTCAGTCATGCCTGCCAACGCCACTTTAATCCTAAACTTCTTGAGTAAAAACCCCTATTTCCTAACTGCCCTCTACTGGCTCGAGAGTATCTGCCTCCTGCTGCTGGTCCATGACTTGCCCTGCCCTTTGTGGGCACAGTTGGGGCGGAGAAGAACCAGGTGACTTACTCCTGTCGCCCTTCTTTGGTGATTGTTCTGTTCAGACTTCAAAGAACAAAGATTTCTTCCGAAAATGCAGACAACTAATTGGGAAACGCACCAGATTTTAAACATTACATTTACTCGCAATGACACATTAAGTGTTTTATGAAAGTGACTGTGTTTTAAAGCCCTGTTCTCCACCTCACGAGCTCTGCTCTTCAGTCTCCCTACCTTCCTCAGTTTCTCCAGTGGTCAGTGACCTTTTGCACTGAGTGCCCTTGTCTGACTGTGGACCATCTCACCAGAAGATTTAAAAAATTCATTGGTTGCTGGCCCTGACCTGCTCTCAAAACGCTTGTTACTGGTGGCACATCTGTACTTGAGCAAAGAATTGGGGCCAACATTTTACAAAGTACTTTGAAGATGAAAAGCACTATGTTATGCTATTATTATTATTATCCGTTACACACAAAGCTCTAAAGAAACCTTTAAACCTTAAGGGGACAATAGTCCAAAATTAGATATTGTATCAACTCTTTCCTAAATCTCACTTTGCTTGTTTTTCTGATTTTTCTGGGCTTTGGCTTTATTATAAAGTGTCACGTCTGAAGAAATGCCAAAGTATTCATTTGAAACCTGGGAGTTGGGGGGTAACGGTGGCTTATGTAGCTGTCAGGGGTTGGAGAGAGGAGACCGGCGGAGGCTTTCCTGCTTTTAAAATGAAAATCTAAGAAGGTGCCAGAAGATGCAGAAGCCGCTGACAGTCATTTTTAACCTAACAATAAGGTGTCAGAAATAGCCCATCTAATTCAGCATCTTTTTTATAACTTGGGACATTTTCCAAGCATGAAGAGTAAAACATCAACTTTTACACAGAAAGTAGAACAGAGCCCTGGGCACTGGTTGCAACCAAATCACTTCTTACCAGACCACAGACTTTCCATTTATGAGGTCTCATCCTGGTAGTTAGAGCCCAAGTGAGCCGAAGTAACACCGTGGAGATCATGTACAGTCTCTATTTACTTTAGTGATTTGAAACTTCCTGTGGAAATAGCTCACAGGTTTCCTGATGGAAGATTTTGTTTATCTTTGCCAGGCACCACCAGGAATCTCAAAATAAAATGCATTTAGTGACATTGGGAAACCTGGGAGATAAGGCAGCGTTGTTCCTGTTTCACCCTCAGTAATTGCTGACACACCCACAGTCACGCTCAGTGCCAACAAAACAGAAAAAAAATACCCCAACAAAACCCACATAGGGAAAGAACAGAACCAAATGGGTTTTGAGGTCTGTTTCTCGTACGGGGGACACTGTTACTGAAGCTAAGTTGGTTTCTGTTATCAGACAGCCTCTTAGCAATGATGATCTATTTCTCTGTATGACTCCTTTAGTATTCTCTTTGGATCCATGGGAGATGATAAATAAAATGTCCTAAAACTGGTTGATGAATCCAGAGGGAGTTTTCCCCTTAATTCATGTTGATTTTTTTTAGCCTGAGTACAAAAACAGACCCGAGAAAGAATTGCCTTCTAACTAAGTGAAAACAAAAAATCTTCCCACACTTCAGTATCTGCTGCAGACTGCACAGTTGTCCTCATCCTTTTACCACCTGTCACTTCGTGATGTTACATGAGGCATCATGGAGGAGAATCAACCTTTGCTCAGAAGCCACAGTCACCCTAGGGTCAGGTGCAAGAGTCACCTATTTGCAGAGGTGCGAATCAATGTTTTTTCTTGATTGGATAAAATGTGTGAATTAAGTTCATGGGAAAGACTAGCATGGAACTTGTAAAGGATGAAAGGATCTCATTCGTCAGGTGGAAATAAAGAAGGCTTTACTTCTTCTGAGAAATAAAAATAACATTCTCTAAACGGAGAGTAAGTGGTTACTAGAAGGTTTTGCTTGTTTCAAACAGATACCATGTTCAAGTGAATGGCACAGGTCAGAGTGGACAGGGGAGGATTCTAACAGCCACAGCTAACCAGTTTTCAGCAGTTTGGAAGGCTACTCTGAGTTATTATATTAGAAGGAAGGGGCAGCATGATTGGAACGAGGCCCAGTGAAGATCCAAATCTACGTCTTTCGATTGAGAGCATCTACGTTTTAGGCGTAGTATCTTTTAAAGCATTATCCACACTAGGTCAAGTATAAACACTGAACAAATATGCATTCATCCTTCAGAAAATAGACACATAAGGTGCAACATTCCCAAGAGTATATTTCTTCTCTAGTGAGAATCAAGTCTCTTGACAAAGATTTTAGTAAGAAAAAGATAATAATTAATTTAAAAATGAATGTAAGTAAATCGATGTTATCACCAATCAAAACTAAAACTTTCTGGGACGAGTAGAAAAGGATTCAGAGAAATTACATTCCAGACAGTGGGGCTTGAGTGGCTGAATTCATGCTCAGTTTTAAGCTGGAAGCTCTTGAATTTCTAGAGGACACATGAGTTTTAAGGAGGTAAGTTCAAACTGAATCCTCATCACACCTTCCTACGGGCCAATCTTGGGGTCTAGAAAAGCTTTCCACCATTCCATGGTTATAAATTATATAATTGTGGTTGGAGGTGGGAGAGAATCTGTCTGAATTAAACAGATGATCAGCTTTATCAGCTGGGGCCCTTTCAGCAACCATACCCTGTGTCTACATGAGGCTGGAGTGAAAAACTCTATGGAGGAGGGACCAGATGTGGTTGCTGTAGTTAATGCTGGGCATCAATTAACCTTCCTCAGGGACTCTGAATAGGATGGAAATGAGCATTAAGTTCTCTTCTACTTTGGTACGTCCTCCCCAGTACTGCCATCAGACCCAGGCAAGAGGGCTCCCTGGCCTGGGCCTTCAGACGGCTCTATTCTGGGGGTACCTCTCCCCACAATGTAAACAGTCTGTGGGGCTAAGCGGGCATGCCCACTCAGAGCTTGTGCCACCCGCACTTCTCTATCTTACTCTGAGCCCCTGGGATGCCAGCATTCCCTGTAGAGATGAGGAGAGGCCTCTTCCAGTCTGCCTGTCCCCTTGGCCTGCCCTCCTGAGGTCAGACTGCTTGTCAGCGTGCCCGCCTGCAGACCCCAGGGAAGACTGGGAGGGGTGTGGACAGAATTTGGATGTATGGGCTGGGGAGACCATACATATGGGTGCAGGGCCCCTGGCAGTGTGGGACAGAGCCAGGGGTTGGAAAGAGAAGGCGGTGAGCCGGGTGGGCAGCTCCATTTGTACTGCCAGGCACTGCCATGTTCTACTGTGCACCTCTGAGTAGTCCAAGGATTCTAAATTTGTACCTGACCTTTTAGGTCATTATGAAATATATTTGTCCACCACAGGCAGAAACATATTTAACAGCTTGTTCACTTGATTTAGACCTTGTAAGTGGTTAGAATTACAGTTTGTGGGCCTCCACAGGTACTCTCCCCGTGGCTGTGGGAACGTCAGGGTAAAGCCTGTTCTCTTCTTCCTACCTGGACGAATCCTCTCCCTACCCTTTCCTGCAGAGCCCCCCTCCAGGCCTGCTTGCTTCTCAGAGGCCTGGAGTTCCACTGTTCAATTCACTCCCACTGGCCACATGTGGCTATGGAGCACTTAAAATGTGGCTAGTATGACTGAAGAACTGAATTTTTTATTCAATCCATTTAAATTTTAAAAACTGAAGCAGTATAATATTTTTTAAAATATTGATTACATGTTGAAATAACATTTTGGATGTATTAGGTTAAATAAAATCAATCTCACTTTTTTTTCTTTTTAAATATGTGGTTACTAGAAAATTTGGAATTCCACATGTGGCCTACGTTGTATTTCTGTTGGAGGGCATAGGCTTAGTACTGGTAAAGCCATCTGTCGTATTACTTCTGTATACCTTTTGATATTCAGACACATATAATGTAACATCTCTCCGTTTCCTCAGTGTTAAAGCTGTCTTCCTATGGAGTCAGGGCTGCACTGATAACCCTTCCAGTGCTCAGTACAGAGTTAAACTGTACTCTTCAATAGTCGGTGTTCATTAAACTTGTATAGACTTGTTAAGTGTTCAGAACAGAACAAGAATTGCTCAGTATTTTGTACTCTAAATCATACCTACAGCGGCTGTGGGTTTAGACAGTAACTTGTTTCCAGCCCATCATAAAGGACAATACAAACCTTTGCCCTTAATTAGTCCAAATCATCTGCGATTGATCAGAGAACCAGTATGTGTGAAACTGGTGTCTGAATCTTCTCTCAGAAAGAACTTTCCCTACTTGGAACGGATGCAAAGACGATTTCCCTTCCAATCTGCTGTGCTGCGCTTCACCTCCCCAAGTCCCATTTCCTCATTTGGAAAATTTGGGGGCTACATTGCTGAATAGCCTTCCCACTCTGACATTCAGTGAGAATCTACTCAATCAAGGATTTCTCCTATAACGCAGCTTCGCTGGGGTTGTTGACTTGCCAGAGACTCCCTGTGATCTGACAATCTGTAACCAGACCTACCTATTTCTAGAGAACTCTAGGCAACTGCTACAGCTTGCCCCACGCACTGTGAAGTTTCCAGAGAGCTGGCAAACTGCCCGGTTTCCTCAGAAAATTGGGGGAGTGTGGAGCCAGGCAATTGTTTTTATACTTTGAGTTACTTCCTTCCTTCCTGTACCCATGGAGGGACATGGGGAGGACCATTTGTGTACCTTGGAGGTTTTAAGATTTGCAGAGAACATCATATTTAAGGCTAAAAGTTCTTAAATGCTCCCTACAAAATAGCACATTAATTATCATCAGCAAAGCTCAATTTCAGATTTCTATAGGAGAGCCTCGTTCCCAAAAAGTTGAAATTACTTAAATTGTGAAACAGTTAGCTTCTTGGTTAGAAAAAAAAATGTCATCCCATGCATTATAATTGGTTTCCTTGCTTGTTATTGAACAGCTGCTGTGTTCTGGACCCTGTGCTTGGTGCTGAAGGGAGTTAAAAAAATGAACGTGAGAAGATCCCAAGTTCACAGTCCGGCCTGGGAGGGAGACGTACACAAGTGGCTCTGAAAGGGCAATCCAGGAACTCACTCCTTAGGGGCTCCAGGGATACTGCAGAATATTCCTGAGAGCAAGGATAAAGGTACTCAAAGTGGGACAATTCTGTGGAATTCTTTTAAAAATAAAACTCAAGCTCTAAGGGCACCAAAAATAAACAAGATATGGAGAGAGACTGAGGCCACTAGGCTGTCTTTGTGAGGATTGGATGTATGGCTTACCTGTGATATAAAAGCTCATGTTTCTTTCCACAATCCCTACTTTATTGGAAGCCATGCAACTGTAGATTCCAGAAAACCTTGAGTCGGCCACAACCAAGGTGCTAGCGGTCTGCAGAAGAAGAGGAGACGTTAGCTAGCAGCAGGACGAAGAACTGCTTGACTATCTCTAAGATGCCTCCGAGGGGTGAAATGATCCAGCCCTTCCGTTCATTTCCTAAAGGTAGTATTGCATGAGGGGTGGTTACCAGAAGGCTTTCCCCTTGCTGAGCCCCAGCATGAATGGAAAAATAACAGGAAAGCAGGTCCTCAGGAGACCGGGGGCTATCACATCCGACTCGTATAAGGGTTTCAGACTTATTTATCTCGTGCTGCTGGTGTAACAATTACAGACCCAAAGCCGAGATGAGGGACTGCACGTCCTACCCCATGAGGTGGTCAGTTCCACATCAATGAGAGGAACAGGTGAGGCCGAGGCCTTCCCTTTTGTCTGGATGGCCTGAGATCATGGATGCCATTTGGTAACAGGAGCCTTCTTTGCTGCTCTGTAATAGTCATGCCAAGTGAACAGGACAGAAGGGAAAGGTTGGCTGTCCCGTTTCTTTTATGTGCTCAGAGAATGTGGCACTGCGGCCCCAGTGGTACCAAAGGAGAGGCTGCAAAGTTCGCTAAGACTGTTGCCTGTGTTTGTGAATTACTTGGTTTCCCTTGTCAATTCCTAATCTGGAAAATGAAGATATAGTTAGATGATCATTTCATCCAATTCTAGTGCTCCTATTTTGGTCCTTACAGTAACACTAGTGGTCAAATCTTTGTGAATTTGAAAGCCCTTTCCAAGCTGTGATGTCTCAACAAGTAGTGGAACAGTAATGAGGCACAGATTTACACAGTTTAAAGACTTACTCTGCTGCTGCTTTTAAAGATAAAAACTAGTAAAAAGAAACAAATTAAGAGATTTAAAATTTAACGCCACCTTGCAAAAACACTAATGCATCTCTATGTGAACAAAAGGAAAATGATAGTTAAATTTTTCATACTTAAAATTACCAAAAAAGGGTTGATTCAGTTACTTATGAATCATTGTGACCTATCTCCTAGGACGCAAATAGCTGATCGCAGGCTTTTAAATTGAGGCTGTGCTGATGCTTCCAGACTAATGCGGTGTCCTAGCTAAGATCAAGTGACTTACAGGCTAAAGTAATATACAGGCTGAAATATAGCAGCGGACTTTCTAAGGTAGTGAACACAAATTTTACAAGGGGTCTTAACATTTTTCTAAGTTGCTAAGTAATGTGTTAGGCACTTAGGTTCTCATAGCCCATCTGATCAAGACCTTAATTGATCAGATAAAGAAGATTAAAAAATATATTGCTTTTTTTAGCTAGCAAGCTCACTGCTCCAAATTCTCTGTAACTTTTCACTATGGTGTAGCAAATATTAGGTGACGCTTCCTCTTATGTTTGTTGGAATCTGTCTAATTACAGCTACTCATACATCCTCTGTATATTATTCAAATTATTGGAAAGGAAAGTGTCTGCAGTATGTGGCATTTTTCATTCATTTTAGCAGCCACTTACGGAATGTTCATCAAGGCATTGCCCAGATGCTGCAGGGAGACAGTGATCAACATGACACAGTCCCCGTTCTTAACCTTGAAGGACCTCTTGAAGGCAGTAGTGAAGAATTTCCCTACTTGAAGATCAAATATATATATATATTATTCTCTCTTTTGCAAGCAACACTCACATGAAGGTAAATATTCAGAGCAGAAGAGGTGACTTTCCCTATTCTGATTATTCATCTTTATATAGAGGTGGAAATTTTTTTAAAACTGGATAGCCATTTCCTTATAATTATTGCAGAGACCACTTAGGAGTCATGGAAGAAAGTGGAAGTAGTTAGAAGAGATGCTTGTAGGCGGCAGTGGGAAAGGAAGTGTTAGTTGGTGGCAACTGGAAGGACAATGGAGACCATCAAGTAAGACTGATTCCTGTACTTGGGGGAAATTCAGGCTGCGATGCTTGGAAGCTACATGCTGCAGGTTCAGACACAGGGAACGCAGAGGGCCCACAGCCTGCACTCCCTGCTTGCCTCTCAGCTCAGACACTACTTTTCTCTTGAAGTTACTCCTCCACTGTTTATCTAATGGGCAGGTAATCTGCGAATGGCTGCAGGCACTTTTCAAGATTCCACAAACAGGTAGCTCAGAATTGTTGTATAATGAGAGAAGAAAATTAAGGTACCCAGAGGTGAAGTGACTCCAGGTCATAGGATGAACCATGGAAAATACGAATGCATCTGAGTCTCTCTTATTCTCCCTGAATGACCTCTTCCAAAACAGACACCTTAACTCACTTCTCTGAAGTTTGTTAAAATTGAACTAGAGATGACGCTGATGAGAGCTCACATTATTTCTTTGTTTCTGGGTACCTTTACGTAGACCTTGCTGTGTGCCACACACGTGCAAAACTTTATCTCATTTATCCTTCCCTAAAGGCCTGTGAGGTGGCTGTACCACCCTGTGCTACAGAAGAGGCGACTTTAGTCAGAGAGGTCAACTGTTTCTTTCAAAGACACACAGTACAGCAGCCAGACTTGGGCAGACTTGGGTCCAGGTTTGTCTGACTCCAGTGCCTATGCTCTTAATCGCTACACAAAGCTGCCGCTTGCCTTGAAACCATAATTTAATAACACAGATCTATTGGTGGCACAGATCTCATGGAGAGCTCTGTTTCTCTTTGAATTGGATTTTTCCCTCGGAATATGTCTGTTAATCAGCAGAGATGGGTCACATAAACTAAACGCTATTATGTATAGAAATACTAATTTCTTTCTTGGTATTTTATATAAGCTGCAAGCTCCTTTTCAACGGAGATAGCTGAAAATATGATACGGCTTGAAAATATGATTGATGAATGAAGAAGTTAAAATTCAAGGAGAAAGTTTTAAAATAAGACGAAACTTGTATCCTAAGATCAACATGAGTGAAAATCATCTGATTTCTAGAATACTTCTCTTTTTCCAGAGAATATATTTTTAAATTATAAATGAAAACATATTTTCATGAAAAAAAAATAATGTGTCCACTGACGTATAAACTGTAGAAAGTCAGAAAAAGGAGGTTGAGTGAGAATTGTAGGTGAGTGTCGCTTGTCTGGACAGAAGACAGCAGCTCTCCTAGGACAGTAAGTCTCAACCAGGAAGCTTTCAAGTTAAAGGGACAAATCTGTTCCCCAGTACTTGTAACCCAATACTACCCTTTCAAGGGGGGAAAAATGAAATAGTATGCATAATGGTGGGAACACCACATATCATCTTAGTGCTTTAAAAGAGCAAGTGCCAAGAATTTGAATTGTGACATGTGTTTGAAGTTACAATCATTTATTTTATAAGGTACACAGTAAGAAATTCTCAAGGATGTCTGCTTGCATGGGTTCTACAGCTAGTTTTCATCTGCCACTATTTTATTTTCACCTTTGAACCCACTCTTTGGGATGTCTCTACCTGCCCTGACAGCCCTTCAAGGATTTAGATATTAGAAACAGACCCTTGGAAAGTGCATTCCCTGAGTTCTTCTTTATGACCCGGGAATGCTGACGAAAACCGTTGTCAGGTGCAGTTATTCTGGAAGTTACTCATAGTTCTCCCTTCCTTCCCTTTTGCTAAGTGTTAGTAATTCACCGATGTGGTTTGAACCTCACGGAATAGAATAGACGGGATGATGTATAATTCGGACTAATTTCCAGCACTTGTTTTAAAAAAATCTAAATCTGGAACTGTGACTTTAATCTTGGGATTTTTTTTTATATAGTTTCCTTTTAAGTGTTTCAGGGAGAAATAAAAGATAGGTGAAGGTCATGGAAGAATCTAAAATTAACTTGTAGTGGCACAATTGAGCCAAATGGTGGGAAAATAAGAGGTGCGAATTAGAAAAAAACTGGGGCATGTGTAGGAAATGAAACAAAAAGCTGTAACTCTGTGATTGGATAGTAATACTTCCGTCATGGACTTGTACGCATATGTCTCAATGTAACTTCAAAATGCTTTCAATGGAAATGTTGCTAAAATATTAAAGTTGCACGATTCTCTATCCTCACGGAATTAATACTGTAATAGTGTATTTCCTGTGTGTGTGTGTTTTTAAAAACAGGGTTCTTCTACTTCCTACTCTATATTTGCAAACCCGATAGTCTGGCAGCCCCACTTAAACAATACTAAAACTCCGCATTTGCTATTGGCAACCCTAATTGATGACTCACTTTTCACAAATCTAGGCTAAAACTTGCCAACAAGGAAACTGAATTTTATTGTCCTCTGCACCCTTCCTTCAGTTAAACAAACAAACAAAAAGAAAACAAAGAAGAAAGCAAAAAGCAAGGCCCTGAAATCTAACAGGTGCTCCAGTGGGACCTGCAATCCACTGATCTGTGGAGTGGTATTATGGGCATGTAGCTCTAGGACTCCTGGTAAAAGGACTTTTATAGTCAACACTGGGACTTCACTTTCTGAAATGTGCAGAAAATAGAAGTGGTTTTAATTGCAAAGGAGAGACCATAGCAAATAATTCTGAAATAGCAAAGCTGCCATTTGTCATCATATGAAAGGTAAATTTTTTCACACAAAAAGATACATTACAGTAAAAGTAGTAAATTCTTCTAAATTTAGGACATGAAATTAATAATTTGCTTAAAACCTAATGCGCTACAGTCATGCTGTTAACAGGATATGACATACATGTGCATATCCATATATGTGTGTCGGCTTTTGTTTAGAAAGATTACTCATTTTTTCAATGCAAAAACTGTTTAGCAAATAGTCTTCATTGCATATGGTCACAATCAGTTTTGGAAATGCATCACGTGGCAGTCATCTCCGTAACAATGAGCACACTAGGTAGGGCAAATATCGTTAGCTCCATTTTTTGGTGGCGAGAACTCAGGTTCAGAGAGGTGAACTGATTTGCACATGATTATCCAAGATAAAAAGTGGCAGCGATGACCCCACAAGTCAAGCTTGACTCCTGGGTCATGGCAGGATGGCACAAATGCCAACTGTCTGGAAGTCTCTATTTAAAACCTCTGCACAACTACAAAATTACAAGGGAGTACTTTT